AAATTAATCTAAATTGACTTAAATAAATTTTAAAATTTTCATTTCATTTTTAAACAAATATTAAAAAAATCGAAATTCTTAAATGTTCAAAAATTCCAATTTTAAAAAACAAATTCATACCAAAAATCCTCTTCTAAAATTTGAGCAAACAGCACTCAATTATTTCCCTAATGAAACGCTATCATGAATCATGCACGAAAGTTATTCACTAATCTGCAGCAATTTTAATCATAGACACATTTTCAGCAGTAGACAATAAACATACTTCTATAATAAAATGAAACAAGCCACAAAATAAACGTCATAAATCAAGGAAATTAAGAGGCAAAAATGATTTTCGTGCATATTAAATAAATGAAATTTAGAGGAAGAGTTTAGTTTTTTTAGGAACTGAATGTGTTTTATGTTTTATTAATATTTATGACTTTTTACTTTTTCATTTTCCTGCAATGTTTTTTGTCCTTTTTCTGTGTGTGTTTATGACTCTTGTGTACGAGAATATATGTGGATGTAAACCCCATTTATGAGCATATAAAGAATGACTCACAGAATAATTAAATGAAAGTAAAAAGGAATGAAAGTTTTAAGGATGAGCAGAAAATAATTAATTTGTATGCATTTCAGCATGTGGACCTCTACTTATACCCTTAAATTCAGATTAACGGTTAAATTCAGTGTGTCCTCGGAAGTTTATTCTGAATTTTTCTTTTAAATTCCATAGAAACTGAAAATTTTAATTAAATAAAAAATGAATATGAAATCTAAATCCATAAAGCAACTTTAATCCACCACAATAGCCCTTTTAAAAATCTACAAAAATGAGATAAATTGCCCATTAAACCAGCAATTCTCATGGATGATTCATCTCCTCTATAGCGATGACGGCTTTAACACAATGGATGCAGTTACTCGGCAATTATTTCCTACACACACGATGTAAAAATTCGCATTTTTTATATTTTTATAATTAAAACAATGCTGGCTGAACTCTCTGAGTTGTGCTTTTTGTCCCTTGAGAAATAATTTTTAAAGCACAGTCAGTGAAAAATCAATAATCGACCTCAGTTTCACTTCCATTTTCGTCTCATTTGCATCGTCAATAAACTAAGCAGATGAATGACATGAAAAATATTTTCAATTGACTTTAAAAATTTATGTAAAATTCCATTGCATGCAAGAACAACAAAGTATATGAGGATGAGAATGAGGCAGTGGGACGTGGTTGAATGGATTATCATTGAAATTGGCATGAAAAATTGAGAAAAACACGAAAAACGATTTGTTGAAAATTTTTACGACTTTCAAAGCCGTTTATTGTGTGTTGTATGCTATGCTGCATATTTGTATGTATCAATGTCGTTAAATAGGATTATTCTTGAATAGATACAAAATTTTATGGAATTGCGGGTTCCTTTTTTGTTACAAAAAAATGAAAGAAAATTTTTGTTTGTTTTTCATTTAAAAATATTTTTCAGACTTTGCAGTCAGCGTTAATTTTGAAGATTAAAATCTCATTGGATTATAAATCATAAGAAGGAACGATAAATTGAGGAAATTTATAGTCGATAGTTGCAACAATAAATTTCATTCGAGTCATTTGATGCTCGTTGTCGTTCAAAGCATGGAAAATTCATCGATCTGACCTGAAGGCACTCAAAATTGCGTTAAACGAGGACCATTTTTGGACATTTTAATTCAGTCAGTTCCATTCACATGTGTGTGCAGCTTCTTATCTTTTAAATTAAATCTTCAAACTTTTATGCTTTATGACTGAAAAATAAATGGAAGTGAAAATTGTTGAATGAAATATTTCAAAAAGTCGTGATAAATTTTCAATGTAAAGAGCACAAAAGGAAGTTTTTTCTTATGCTGAACATGCATGGAAATGTTGGAAAAACAGGAAGAAATAAGAAAGGACATAAACATGGAAAATTTATCATCATGTGACACAGCAGCACAACAAAAGAGTTGAACTATTCATGCCTGCAGCATGAGACATTCTTGTTATTTTAGACTAGAAGATGAAAATATTAATAAATTCTTGTGCTTAATTAAATTCTCAGCTTTTTTGGGATTGTTCCTTGTTGAATTATTTGATCTACTTTGCAGATATTCCTACAGTTTTGCTCTGCAACTAAGGTGCAATTGCTGCAGAATTGATGGGATCGTCGATAACATTTTTAAGCTTCCTTAGTCAAGATTTTGTACAATTTTCTGAAGTTTGTCTGATTTTTGCTCAATTTTCTAATCTTCAGATACTCAAAACTCTTCAAAATCATTCAAAACTCACAACTTTAGGACTTAACTCATCTCCAAATCCCATCCACAAGTCAAACAATTAAAAGTTTAAAATCCACTCAGTCCCATCAACCCAAATGACATTTCATTAAGACAATAATTCCACATATTTTAACTTTTTGTTCCATTCGACTCACTTCCTTTGTTGACACAAAATGACACGTCGTTTAACTTCCATTTCCATTTTCATGATTTATGTTGTTTTAAATATTTTTCCATCCATACATTTTTGCATTCTTGTCCCCCTTTTTAACACTGCTGCTCATCATAATAAAAATGTCAAACCTTATAAAAAGTTTTGTAATCCAAAAAGTGAAAACAAAATGAAAATCTTCGATTTAATTATTTTTGTTGCCTTGTTTTGTGGAATTAAATTGAATTGAGAGAGTTTTTAGAAGATTCTTAGTGACTGACTGGCTATTGATTGGTATTTTAAGTATTTTTGGAAACATATTTTAGAATTTTTGACTTCTACACTCTCATTTAAGTCACAGTTCTATGAAAACATCGCTCAAGTCCTTTAAAACTCAGAACTTTGGATGAATCCAACTTGTTATCTTTATTTGTTTCACAAAGGGACATTCATAAATGATGTCTATCAAAAAAATTGGAACTTCCTGCACGTTGCATCCACTCGGTCTTTAACAAACATCTACAAAAATTATTTTAAGCATTACTCAGCCTTAGACACTCCTCCTCCCACCTCCCACCTTCACAGAACACTAGACATCATAATTGAACAATCCCAAATTGAAATGTGAAACTAATTTAGAAAGGATTAGCACAAAAAGGCACGACAAGACACATTTGAATTGGCTTCAAATTTCATTTTCAATTCCAAAAAAAATTTTTTTATCAAAATTTCTTCTATTTTATTCGCATGCAGTAATTGAATAGGAACTGAAAGAAAAGAAATGAAATGGACAAGTCAGGCAGGAAGGAAAAGTGATGAAAAACTACTCAAATGAGAAGCCAAAATTTTTTTTTTTAATTTTTCAGTTCCTCCTGAATGCAAAAAACAATTCTAGACGAACAGAAAATGGACATGATGAATTATTTTTGTTATGGCATAGAGGAAAATTACAGCACAGGGAAGTGACATGCAGGTAGAATGACAAAAAAAGGATAAAAGACAGTTTTTTGAGTGGAATGCAAACATTTTCAGTTCTGTCATTTCATTTATTTAAAGCATTGCTGTTGATGAGGCGGAATTTTGGTTTTGTTGGCAACAATTATTTATCTCTTACTTTTTGGGATCTCTTTTAGATGATTTTAAGGATTAAAAGCCAGATGCATGTAGCTTATTGAGTCTTATAAAGTCTTTTCATAAAAATTGCATCCCTAGTTTGGATCTAAATCCTCATTTTAAATAACAACAGATTTAAACTTACTTCATTGCATGTTTAACTTTCAATTATTCAAAACTTGTTTATCATCATCAAATCATGAAATTGAAGTAAATCCAACAAAATACAATAGAAATGGAAGTGCCATACAATAGCCAGTAAAAAATAAATTTTCAATCCACAAAAAGAATAAAAAAAATTCCAATTCAAAAATGAAAGAAAAGCTTTTGATCTTAGGAAAAAGCAGGAAAAAAGGAAAATTTTGCATCTTAAGAAAATTAAAGGAAGTGCAAAGCTTTGATGATAAATGAAAAAAAAAATCATCCACAAAGGAAAACTCAACAACACAAAAATTGCATTTTAATTAAAATTTCTTCTTGTTCACCACAAACAGCATAAAAAACAGCATAAAAGGCAACATTAAACATAAAGCATGAGATCATTTGATGTAAAGAATCCTTTATGTCACTTTTATCAGCATTTGTTTGATGTTTGCTGTTGTAATTTTGTCGATGGATTTCCTCCTTTGTGCCTTATTTTTTCACATGATACATGCTTAATAATTTTAACTGCAAATATTTTTCCAGCTCTTCTCATTCATTCATGATTGTTTGTTTGCATGCATGCATGTATGGAGCTTGTGGGAAATGATTGAAATGTGCAGGAATTAATGTAGTTGAGTTGGTTTCTAGGTTAGGTTTTGGATGATGTGGCTTTAATTCTGGATTGTCAGGATGTTTATTGATCTTTTGTTGGAACTGATGATTTGAAGCAGAAATGCGCTCTAGTCATTTATGTCATTTATTTATTAAAAAAATGCTAGAAAATTAAAACAAAAAGGCAGAAAAGTTTTTACGACAGGAACGAAAGTTGCCACATAATTTCGCACACCAACCGTCACACACACATTATTAATAGCAATAAAACAGGCACTATAAAGTGCGTAGAATCGTAAAACGTGACCAAATGAGTATTTCATTTCCACATTTTATGGCCACTTCATATTTTCATATTCACATCATCAGACGCCACATGAAGTCCTCCTTTTTAATTATGAATGACATTTGTGCATTGCAACTTTATGCGAATTTATTTGTGGACCAAACTGAGACGACAAAAAGGGAGAGGATGAAGGTAATTTTCATGAAAATTGTTTTGTGAATTAATGAAAATGAATCAGGAACTAACACAACTGTGGACATAGATGTGTGAGGTTGAACATAGAAAAGGCATCAAGCATGCTGGAACTGAGAATGAACAATATTGTGATTGATATAATTAATAGATCTGTGAGTGACTTTTATTCTGTTGGACGATTTTAAGAAAGTTTTAAAATAATTTCGATAAAATTAATGCACAGTTTTTTATTCAAAAGGTAAGCAAGCAGCATAATTAAAATACCCGCAAGGACTTCTTCATCAACTTTCAACCAACATACCTTTTTTATGTGTCTCCACACATTCCTGATAATTGTCTCTGTCCATTTCCACAAAAAATATTTTTTAATGCCGTAAAACTTTTCATTCCGTTCACAAAAAGAGCCTTTTATACTTCAGGGTGAGGCAGGGGAGCAATAACTGTAACAAAGATTAGATGAGGTCACTCCAGTGGCTTTTTTTATTACCATATGCGGATATTGGACAATAGAGAAATGGTGTAATAATTATTTTATAGCTAGTCGTTTTTATTGCTTTTAGTTCCAACAAAAACATGCTCAATGTTCCGTTTTTAATAAGATAATCAACCTGAATTTTTAATTCCTGTTACTTCCACTACATGGTAATATATAAAAATTAATGCAAAAACAGCAACAACAGCAACGAGAACATGATGTGAAGGAAAAGATAATTAAAATGAGTCAAAATGCAAATTAAACCGAAGAATTGCTTGCGGGCTGAAAAGGAAGGAAGAACGGGAAAGAAGAAGAAAATTTGCATATGTAAAGAATTTTTTGTACAGCAATTGGAATGTTCAATTGTAAATTGGTATCATCATAATTGAGGATGGAATTTCTTACTTCATTATCGTTTCATGTTTACAATCGACCGCAATGGCTGTAAATAGGAAATATTTGAAGAATTTTTGGGTTATGTGAGCATTTTTGTAATCGTTCAGCTACAGTGTTGCACAACCTTTTTGTTGCCACGGCACATCTTAGTAGTAATCCATGTCCGAAGCCGCAGACAGCATACGATTTGTGGAATTTATCGAATTATATCGCGGAACATTGGTTGGCCAGCACTGATATAGCATCATAACTGACCAGGCGCGTAGCCAAGAGGGTGTTGTCCCCCTCTTATGCGTTTTAGGTCGTGCTTTCGTTTCGGTTCAAAACTTTTAAGGGGAAGGGGGGCAAGACCCTCCTGGCTACGCGCCTGTAACTGACTTAAACTATAGCGCGAGGGTTCAAAAACTCAATTCAAGCCATGCATCAAAATACAAAAAATCCATTTAATAATAATTAATGTTTAATTGACTATGCAGTTCTCTTGCAAGACATGCGAATCGACAGGAAGAATAATTTCACTTCCCTTCACTTTTCATCATTGACAATTTAATTTTTTTTCATGTCCGTGATGAAATCTTATTACATTTACACTCTAAAGTGTGTCTCAACAAGAGCCGCTTCTCGATAATTGTCTGATAAGAAGCACAAACAGAGTTAATAGCTTTTTTATCCTCATTACTTCATAGCCGTAATAAATATGCGATGAGTTGAGATTATCATGAAGATTGAGAATGTCTATCAGTCAATGACTTATTGCATATCTCGTTCGTTTAACGTTGGGTTGTGGGGAACTGATTAATATCCAGTGTCGTTTATAATCACATGCTATGTTGACTTTTCAATGAGCGCACTTCTTTCAACTTATTTTATTCATGTCGATCAATCATCATGTTGATTATTAATCAGTGAGATTTCGTGCTTTTAAATTATTATTTTTCTGCTTTATGTGACCTTTTTAATCAGTGATGTTGGAAGTGATTGCGGATGAAAGCTAGGAAGAAATTGAGAAAAATAGAGAAAAAATTGCAAATTAAAGCTGAATTGAACTTAATTATTGTAGCTGACTTGAGATGAATTGAGCTGAATTAAGTTGAATTATTGTAGCTGAATTGAGTTGAATTAAGCTCCATCGAGCTGAATTGAGTTGAATTGAGTTGAATTGAGCTGAATTGAGTTGAATTAAGCTGAATTATTGTAGCTGAGTTGAGTTGAATTAAGCTCCATCGAGCTGAATTGAGCTGAATTGAGTTGAATTAAGCTGAATTATTGTAGCTGAGCTGAGTTGAATTAAGCTCCATCGAGCTGAATTGAGTTGAATTGAGTTGAATTGAGCTGAGTTGAGTTGAATTAAGCTGAATTATTGTAGCTGAATTGAGTTGAAATAAGCTCCATCGAGCTGAATTGAGTTGAATTGAGCTGAGTTGAGTTGAATTAAGCTGAATTATTGTAGCTGAATTGAGTTGAAATAAGCTCCATCGAGTTGAATTAAGCTCCATCGAGCTGAATTGAGTTGAATTGAGTTGAATTGAGTTGAATTTAGTTGAATTGAGTTGAATTAAGCGTAGTTGAGCTGAATTGAGCTGAATTGAGCTTAAACCTAATCAATTCAGATTACAATAAATTTACTTCAAGCAAAAAAAATCTCAAAACAAAAAATGAGCACAACTTGCTCCCAATAAATCCATCTTTAATATGTCTAAAAATACCATGTCCGTAATTAAACAAAAATTAACACAACAAATTCAAATTCATGTGAGGGCTACTAAATAAACAAGCGAATCCGATAATGATTTGTAGTTTTTTCCATGTCTGTTGATTCCAATTTTTATTTCGGCTTCGTTTAAAATTCATTCTTTAAATGGTCAAAAGATTTTTATCGCAATTTTTTACATCCACTGCATATCCATGTACATTTTAATGACTTTTTATATCACATGAGAATATATTTTTTTATATTGGTTCATATTTGGCGTTGTTGCTGATAATTTATGGCCTATGATGCAATTCATATAAATTCTTTATGACAATAAAATATTGTATGAACATTAATTTCCGGTGGAGATGTATGTTGATGATTAGGACTTGATTCAAATTGAAGGGCGTTTTGTTGCTATTTTTATAGAGTTTTGATCACAGGAGTGAATGGCAAAAAGAGTTTTTCTGACCAAGAATGGAAAATAACTAGATTTCTTCATCACTTTTCAGACCCAAACTCTTTAGGTGTCCATACAAAATATTCTTACTACAACTCTAGTTTCAAAAATAAATTTCTCAAAGCAATTTTCATGTCACTGAAAGCATGTTTCATCCATAAATGTCATGATTAATTAAGTTGAAATTAGAAAACTCGACTAAATTTAACAATGAAAATTTATGAAGTGAAAAAGATTTAATAGAATTTTTTCTATATTGTGTCATGCATGTAAAGCAACAAGGTTTATGACTCATTTGAGATGATATTTTTGTTTCTGTTGGTTTATCGACTTAAATGTTTTGTGGATACTTGCTTAATCTTGTTGATAATCTAGTTTGTAGAATCTGACTAAGTTGTGGATTTTTGGTTTAGAATTTTTCACATTTTTTGTGTCTAAAATAAAATTTGTTTAAGTCATTCGAAAATTGGGTCAAAATGTGAGAATATTCAGTCACTATAGATGCACTTCCTCATGTTTATTTAAGAATGTCACACAATTTAAATGCCAACAACTTTTTATGACAGAATTTCCAGCCAACAATTCACAATTTCCACAGTTCCAAACAAATAAAAGTCTCAAAAATTTCAAGCATAAATGATGAAGTGCCTCATTGATATATTTTTAAATGGAACATATTTTCATTCCTATTTCCATAGCTGCCTGCTCATGATGAAAATTAAAATTCATTTTTCATTTCTCATTTTTTTGCTCGTTATTCAAGAGCAGCTGAAAATTTATGAGACAACGATGAGCGGAAAAATTTGAAAAAATTTTGTTTACATGAAAATGGGAAAACTTCATCAATTTTCACTCGCTGTCTTTTGTTGCTTCACATCTGACTCCGGAGTTGGAAATAATGCGAGAAAAATAAACAAAAAATTGAGTACCGTTCATTGACAATCGTTCGAGATTGCATGGAAGTAAGAAGTGAAAATTGTCGGGTGCTGAATGTTACTTTCATATCTCAATAGCTGGAAATGCTTGTTTGTGCTATTTTTAAAATCATTTCATTTGTGAAATTTGAGCTCATTTTTTTCTTGTTTACTTTTTTGAATATCGATTTTTAGACTCATTGTCAGCATCAAGGAAGTAATTTGGAAGCTGGAACTATTTTTGTTGGATTTTTGGACTCACATTGTGGATACTGAATCCATAAAATCATTAAATATACTCAATCTAACATCATCTCGGACAAATCATCATAACCGTAACCCATTCATCTTTCCTACTTTGTCACTGTCCTAGTATGAACATTTACTGACACAATTATGGACACTGAACTTAACATAACTCAAAGAACAGTCTACAAAGGAATCTCCTAGCTCTTTCATGTCAATTAGACCATAAAATTGATTATGTGACTTACTTTTCCACATAAGCTGACGAGGCCAGTGCCAGTGCTGTTTCCTGAATGATGTCCATCCGCTTTTCATGTGTTAAATGACTCAAGAATCCATTATTTCCCTTTAAATTGTTACTTTTGCATAACTGCAGCTGATTCAGCATTTCCGTACGTAACAAATTTTGGAACAAATCATTTCCATCGTGTTCGGGCTTCTTCGTCATTTCCTCATCAGTATTTATTGCCTTTTTCTTCTGCTGACCATTTGCCTCAGATTCATCAATCATCTCATAAATGTGATTCTCCGGATCACTTCGTTCGTACACAGAACTGCTGTAATTTGCCACAATCATGCCATTTGACTGTGCATGACTTTGCACTTGTCGTTGCAGATTTCTCATAACATTCATTCTTGGCATGTTGCTGCTCATTTTATGTTGTTGTTGTTGTTTTTGTTGTGGCTGCAAATATTGTGGATTCGGAGCCATTTGTTGATGTCGCAAATGAAAATTTTGTGTGCCAAAACTTAAAATATTAGGAAAATGAGAAGTAGTCGATGAAGTCATTGAGGACATAGATGATTGAGTTTGATGCAACAAGTGTGACTGCTGCTGCTGTTGGTTCAGTTGATGATTAAAATTTATTGGTGGCTTTGGAACTTCACGTAGTGCCAATTTATGGGTTTGTTGAACAACCGCCAACTGAAAAGTTTTCTTCTCATGAAATTCAGCCGTAACTGACTGAACTTGTTGAATTCCTTCCGGATCATGTCGAATTTGCTTCCTCAATGGTGGTTTTGGAGGAATTTTCTTCGGTTGATTTATTTGTGGCAAATGTGCATCAATCAACTGTGGCTGTACAATTTGTATTTGATTCTGAAAAGTTGACAATTGTGTCGTGTTTCTTGGATTTTGTAAGGCATTATTATTGAGTCTCGGCATTGTTCTACTTTTGGAGTGGAATTTTGATGCATTTTGTTGTTGCTGTAAATAATTTCGAGTGGAATTTAATTAAGATGGGAAATTCTTCAGTATTTTTACTTCCACTTCTGGAATGATTTTAGCATGTTGTGATTTATTTTTAATTCTTCTGTCAAGGGATGGACACTCTGGGTTGTGTTTTTAATTTTTAAGTAAGGACAGGGTTCTGTGAACTGAGGAGCTAATATTTCGAGTATTTTGTAGTAAAAACTTTAAGTTGATATACTTTTCTGGAGTGTCCATCCCTTGTCACTTTCAATTTACCGTAAATTGTTTTGCAAATTCCTCTTCCGTCGATTCATCATCACTGATATGAAGCCTGAAAATGGAATAAAAATTCTTTCAATTTTAAATGAATTCTCATCTTTCTCGTTGATGATGTATGCATGCATGCTTCAAGTCTCATCAAAAAATGTTCGTGTTGCATAACATGCAGGATGATGAAAAATACTATGGATGTGATTATTTACCTCAGCTGTTGTTGCTGCTCTCTCAAAATTTATGATTCATGCTCATCTTTATGTTGAAATTTGTCACTTCTGTTGTGTACAATAAAATCATGATTGAATGTCATATCATCTTATTTTGCATTTTAGACGCTGCTGGATATGAATATTAAGTGAATATTCAGTGGGTTAAAGAAGAAGTCTCAAATCATAAATAAATAAATTCAAAATCAAATCATTTTCAAATCCACACCCGAGTAGCACCAACAACAACAACTGGTTTTACGTCGACGTCAAGGCACCATCAAGTAGAAAAAAGCACGTTACGCCGCAAATTTACCGTTGTGGCAACGCTAAGGCTTCTTCACGCACGATTTCGCCCCATTATTTCATTGTTCAAATGGGGCGAAATCGTGCGTGTAGATGCCTTAGCGTTGCCACAACGGTAAATTTGCGGCGTAACGTGCTTTTTTCTACTTGATGGTGCCTTGACGTCGACGTAAAACCAGTTGTTGTTGTTGGTGCTACTCGGGACAGAAGTGTCCAATTTCACCGTGTTTGTTATGTTTCTCAATATTGTCATTAATTAATCACTTTCCAGGCATTATTTTCATATTTTTTTTAATCGTCATTCACATTTCATTCAGTGATAATTTATTGAATATTTTGAACTTACTCTCGAACATTTGATATGGCTAATTAAGCTCAGACGACATGCAGTGCAGCAATAAATGATATTTATTCAATAAACTACTTCAATTTCATCTTTTTAATCTTTTTCACTATTCAGGGTCAATTTTAATTGATTTCTGTGCTGAACTTTTTCTTTTGAATTTCATTTGTCACACATTTCAAATTATTATTATTTCAATTCCAATGAATTTTATAAATGCACAGTTATTAAATTAATTAATTTATGAGCCACAATCAGTCACACTTCAATTCATTAATATTTTATTGAAATGCACCATAAAAAAATTAAATCAAATTAATTTAAATAATTCACAAAAAAAAATTCAAAAATCAAATTAAAAACAAAAAAAATTCTCACAAAAATAAAAAATAATTAAAATTTAAATTTCTTCTGACATGTTCAAAGGATGAAAGAAAACTGAATGAAAGAAATCAAGTTGAAGAAAAAAATCAAAAACAGTGGATTTTTAAATATTTTGTGGTGAAATTAAAAATGAGAATTTTTTAAGAAACTCGCTTGTGTGTTTTTTGTGGAGATTTTATGCTGCTTATTTAGTTTTTCTCTCTTTTATGTTGTGTATTCGGAGATGTTTTGTGCTAGCTTGTGGGTATCAGTTGCATAAGTTGAAGGGGGCCGGAAAGGGTTTCATGTAAATGTGATCTTAACATTAAGGTGTGTTTGAACAAAGATTTAAAAATTCCTTTGAAAGTAATTTTAAGTTCTTATTAATCCCTAATTATTGGATATAGTAGCTACCATTTTAGGTGAAATTCTTACATTAAAATAATTTTTATCCTAAAATTCAAAGACAAACTACAACATCCACACTTAGAATGTATGAAGTCCCTCATTTCTCATCACAAACAGCCACAAACAAAAGAAAGCAAAACTCTAATTATTCTAATTAAAATAAATATCAAAAACCTCATTCATTGAAAGAAGAACAAGAAAGTAAAATTTATGTACATGATCTAATTCTTAGTCATAAAGTATCAGATTTCAAAATTATGATTAATCCACAATATCATCAACATTACACTACATTTTGTGAATTCATTCATTAGATTGTGTTTCAATCTTCTTGAGTAATTACAGCTACAATGCACAATCATACGCCATATGCGATACTCAGACTGAAAAGAAGGAACGAGAACAAACATAAAAGTAAAATCCATTAAGTATATGAAATGTTTAGAATTTAACAGAAAAGAAGAATCTTTTTTTGAAGAAATTAAGAAATTGATGTTTTCCGAATACAAGCCGATGAGTTGTTTTAAGGGGCGTACAGCACACATAAACAAATATTTGCGAATGTGATAAGTAAATAAAAAGATTAATCAAAAGTTGGAAGGGAAAGTCACGTGTCAAAATTTGTCAGCATCAACCCCTCAATCATTTACAATGTAAAGAAAATTTACTTTAAAAGTGACGTGAAGGAGGAAAGGAGAAATCGACACATATAAAAAGTTCTTCTTCTTTGACAACTCATAAATTTTGATTAATTTTTTTTTTCATTTTTTGATTCGTAATTTTCATTGAAAAAATTTGGTTGTATAATTTAGCGGCATAAATCTTGGTTTTTTTAAAAGGTTTACCAATTCGCAAGTCTTTTGAGCCGGAGGCACTGCGATTTAATTTATATAGATTCAATTTTACCACATCTTCCCTGGAGACCTACAGTTCTAAGTCGAATCTGAATCATTTGCAGGCTCTTCACATTGCAAAGACACAAGTACGTCTAAAGACCTAAAGTACCCTGCAATGAATCTAGTCACAATTAATCTGTGCAAGATGCAGTAGTGAAGTCATCCAGATGCTATTTTATCCTAGTATACCAAGCAAAAGAGACACAAGATGCCAAAGAACTCTAAACTAGATCAAACACACGAAACTAGCTTCTTAATTATACCGATAAAATGGACATAAGAGCTTATAAAAATTGACTTGACCTGGAATTGAACCCTAGGTTCCTAGTCCAACAACTTTAAGATTTTAATAGCCACTGACAAAACTCAAAGGATACAGCATCCTAGTATCAATCATTGATTCAATTTCTTAATAATTTCCACAAAATTCATAACAACAAAAAGGGGTGACTTATGGATTACAAGATTTCAAAAATTATTAAAATTTTCAGTAAAACGATTCTTCCGAATGAGCAATAAGCGCAAATAAAAGGCAAAGATGAAAAGAAGTGTGAGAGAAGTTTGAGTGATTGATGGTTTATTTTTCTTATTGAAATTTAATCTTTTTAACTTTTTTTTTCTCTCGTCTCCTCCGCTCTTTCACAACTCATCGAGTGCCTTTAATATTCTTTTTGCATGTATCATGCATCAATTCTTTTGTAAATGATTCTTTAATGAGCACATCGTCTTTTTGCATTGAATAAGGAACGCTAGAAAAACAATATAAGTATTTGTTCAGATGTGATGAAGCATCAATTTCAACCCCTCATTGCTAGTTATTTAGGAAACAGGAGATTAAACATTCGAATGCTTTTCCCCCATCCAAATTTTTTAGTTCTTTCAACATTCACTCCAAGTTGAGATGAACAAATTTGTTTCCCCCTTTTTTTTGTTTTATTTATGAAGTTTATTTTGGAATTCTTATTGTGGTTCACGCTTCAGTTGATATGAAATCGTCTCAAGCCATAATTAGTGATTTTTTTCTAAATAAATAATGAATATGTTTTCTCTACGATCTGAGATTTTATTATGTATATATTCATCCCTTGGTGGGATTTTTGGGAAGGTTTTGAATAATTTTTTGGTGGTTTTCTCTTGAAATTTGGTGGTTTTGGGATTTTTTAAGGACTTTAATGTTAGAATTATGTTTGATTTTTGTAAGGTTTTATAAAATATCTCTTAATTTAATTTGAAAATATAAATAATATAGGCTGGTTCTTAAAATACTACGCTTTACCATTTTAATGCTCTTTAGCTATGCATCAATTATGAGTTTAGAACTGATCAGGTGACTTTTGATCATTTAGATCACTTCAACTTCATTGGAACCAACTCGTCTATTTAAATCAAATCCAGATCCTTGCCAGAGCTACACCGACTTCGTGCCTGATTTGTGATCAATTAACCGACTTGTGCCATTCGGGAAACCTCTCAATAAATATCCAAAACCAAATCAAACCACCACCAAAAAACCTCAAAAAAATCTTCCAAAATTTCTACAAAGGAATCAGCAATGAGAATTTCCTCCAAAAAATTTCTCTCCCTCAGAATGAGCAAAGCAGGATTAAAACGAACAACAACCAAAATGATGTGCAAAGATTTTATTCGAGTGGAATTTAATTGTCTCGAAGAAATTTCCATAATTATTTTTATTTTGCACAATGAATCTGAAATTTGTACATATTTTGTTGCTCCATTGAGACTGTTTTTATGTTGAAGAATTGAGGAATTTGTTAAAGAATAGAATTATTTGGTAGAATAGAGAATTAATGAGACTTCATTAGGAATTTCGAAGATTTGATGGAAAAACATTGGGGAAATTTGTGTTGTTAATGAAATGAACTGATTATTTAGTTTTTAATGGAAGTAAATGAATTAAAATGAACATCTTTTTCTGTTTGTTTTATGGAAGAAGCTTACATTGGAGTTATACCTGAATTTCATTCAATAAATTTAATTAATTTAAGCATTTAAGGGTTTAAGTTGTAATTTAAGAGATTTTGATTTCATTTTGGAAGGTTTGAATTCTTATTAAATCTTTGCAACTTTGAACCCCTTCAACTTATGCAACTGATATCTACAAGCCAACATAAAATATCTTCGAATACGCAACATAAAAGAGAGAAAAACTAAATAAGCAGCATAAAATCTCCACAAAAAACACACAAGCGAGTTTCTTGAAAAATTCTCATTTTTAATTTCACCACAAAATATTTAAAAATCCGCTGTTTTTGATTTTTTTCTTCAACTTGATTTCTTCCATTCAGTTTTCTTTCATCCTTTGAACATGTCAGAAGAAATTTAAATTTTAATTATTTTTTATTTTTGTGAGCATTTTTTTTGTTTTTAATTTGATTTTTGAAATATTTTTTGTGAATTATTTAAATTAATTTAATTTAGTTTTTTTATGGTGCATTTCAATAAAATATTAATGAATTAAAGTGTGACTGATTGTGGCTCATAAATTAATTAATTTAATAATTGTGCATTTTTAAAATTCATTGGAATTGAAATAATAATAATTTGAAATGTGTGACAAAAAGAAAAAGTTGAGCAAATAAAAACCAATTAAAATTGACCCTGAATAGTGAAAAAAGATTAAGAAGATGAAATTGAAATAGTTTTTTTGAATAAATATCATTTATTGCTGCACTGCATGTCGTCTGAGCTTAATTAGCCATATCAAATGTTCGAGAGTAAGTTCAAAATATTCAATAAATTATTACTGAATGAAATGTGAATGACGATTAAAAGAAATATGAAAATAATGCCTGGAAAGTGATTAATTAATGACAATATTGAGAAACATAACAAACACGGTGAAATTGGACACTTCTGTGAATTTGAAAATGATTTGATTTTGAATTTTTTTATTTTTGATTTGAGACTTCTTCTTTTACCCGCTGAATATTCACTAAATATTCATATCCCGCAATGCCTGAAAACAACTTAAGAAGGAAAAAAAATGTTACACAATTAAAATATTTCGATGTAGTGTTAACATCTTGTTAGCATTTTAATGATATGTTATTTTCAAACTTAAACTTGTGCAAAAAAAATAAATTCCCGTAAAATGTTGTTGGCTTCTATTGTGAAGAATTTCACACAGCACTTTATTTACAACAACAATGCATATAAATGTTTCCAGCATAAGATTTAATAGAAATATTGTAAAGTGGTTTTTTAGTTCGATACTTACGATAAGATAAGGAAGTAGAGTACTTTTCGCGTTTTGAGAGTGTTAAGAATTAGGAAGATTTTGTTAGAATTTAAAGTTGATGAAAGTTCAGAAGCCGACATCAATTACACAAGTACATATCAGTTACACATCAATTGAAAATCATTTACATGTCATAAATTGCAAATCATTTACACATCAATTACACATCATTTAAACATCAATTACACATCATTTACACATCAATAACAAATCAATTACATATCAATTACACATTAATTACACATCATTTACATATTGATACATATTTGTATATGTCATCATCTTTTATATAACAATACACATCAATTACATATCAACCTACAGAAAACTCTAAAAAACTCTTATATTCTGACAAAATCTTCCCAAGAAACTCATCCAAACGCTTTGTGGCACTTAAAACCCAATTAACAAATACTGTTAATGAATGTATTAATTGATAAAAGATAAGAAAGAGGTTCCCTTTGATTTTCTTTCCCCACTATAACAATTTTTTTCTCTCACTTAGTCTATCGGCATTTTTGCTTTTGTTTTTAAAGGTCAACAGAAAATAGAGTTTCTCACCAAACTAATGAAAAAAATGAGATCTTTAAGTAATTTTTATTTATTCATATTCACATATGTTTTAAGAGCACTGAACCTCTTGAGTGATGTCTGCATATTATGTTTGTATTTATGATGATTTTTTCTTTCACTCTCTTTCATTTCTTTAAGTAAGAAAATTGACATAAAGCATAAGAGCAGTGAAATATAGGGGAAATTAAAAGGTTTATGAGATTTTATTGAATTCGTTAAATGGTTTGAGGCGCAGATATTGTTTCTTGACAATTGGTTAAGTGGCTATTTTGGAATTGTATTGGAAATGTTTCTTGAAATTTTCAAAATTTGACAAAATATTCGTTAAAAAATTGTAAATTTAAAAATTCTGTTGAAAATTCAAATCCTACAATTCAGTTGGAAATTCAAAATCTACAATTCAGTTGAAAATTCAAATTCAAATAAGAGATTTTTGGTGGTTGATATGTAATTGATGTGTATTGTTATGTAGGTTGATGTGTATTTGATATGTAAAAGATGATGACATTAACAAATATGTATCAAAATGTAAATGATGTGTAATTGATGTGTAAATGGTATGTGGTTGGTGTGTAAATGATATGGAATTGATGTGTAAATTATATGTAAATAACATAATCTAAAAATTTATTTTTATGTTAATATGTAAATTCGAGAAAATTCTAAGATTCAGTTGAAAATTCAAATTCTACAGTTCCGTTAGAATAATTTTTCACCAACAATGCCTTGCAATTTGCAAAAATTTACATGTCACTAAAGACAAAACGAGCAAATAATCACACCTAGTTAACTTACAATAATCATCGTCAAAAAACAATGAGAAGACATCTAAAAAGGTCAAAAGCCTATTCTGTTCATACTGGCGTTGTAGTATGAAATTGTTAACAATGAAATAAGTCAAAACATTAACACTTCACACATATCTAACTCCATTCAATGCTTTTTCTTCTTCTTTTTACACATTCATTGACTAATTGAGTTGAAACGAGTGAGGACGAAATCGGCATCATGTCAAAAGCGTACTGCCTTCAAAATTGCTTTTTAATGGATATATTTCACCAATGGGCCTGCTTGACATGTCTATTAGTAACGTGTTCTTTCCATAAATGTTCAATGATGTGAGTCAATTTAAGGTACTTTTTCTCGTGTCCATTTTGATTTTGCTCTTTTTTTTGCATGTCAAATTTTTTAAGAGCATTTCATTCTGCTTGAGATATATTATTTTATGGAGCAAGTAATTTTGTGATCATGAACAGTTGAATTTTTGGAGGATTGACTGAGTTTGATGGAAAGAACTGTGTTAACGTTAAGTTCAATGTTTGGGCGAGAAAAGTGTGCAAATTCTTGCAATGTTGAGTCATTTTTTGGCGGTTGTCGTAAATAAAGTGAAGATCTAGTCCGCATAGTAAGTTTGGTGTCTAAGCAAAGTGGAACCTTTGGTATCGAGCTATATATATAGGCGAATCTGCCTGTGCAAGAGTAAGGCATATATGGCATGAGTGGTTAGGGAACAGACTGGATATCTGTAATCCTCTTTTGTGAGGATGTCGGTTCGATTCCCACCAGAGACTGTTCTTTCAATCATTAGATTGAGAGTTGTTAATATGACAAGGGTACGCACAATGCTCACGACATTCAAATAAGATTTAACTGAGGCTAGAGCCACAAAAAAGTCACCACATGATACCCGGATCATATATGGATCAATTGTTAAGATTCGTCCAAACCTAGCTTTAATGACATGACTTTTACTATTTATATTCTCTAAAACCAGCAATGCTCTACACAAAAATGCACAAAAATACGTTGCCAAATTTCCATACTTTCATAAACGTTCCTGCACATTGCTGCTTATGCAAAATTTTTCCATTCACTTGACCATACTTTGCCAAACTATAATTAGTTTCAGCATTAAAGTAGCTAGACCATCAAAATTAAAAGAGGGTGGCTACTGACCGAAGCAGATCCTGATTGCCAAAAAAAAATGTAAAGACAGTAAATTCCCATAGATTCCATTTAATTAGTGTCATATGGATTCATGTGTCTTATCTAGTCTCTAAAATCATTTTCTCATGCGTTTCCAAACCCTCTTAATTTCATACAACTTCCTTCCTTCCAACGATTATTTTATTCTGGCAAATTCTTGTACTCCAGAGAAAAATAATGAATGAATGGTATTTGACGATGCATTAATTCCCCCGAGGCACAATGACCAACTCGAACTGAATGTGTCTTGCTGCATCTTTTCAAACGAGGTAAACACGTACGAAAAAATTTTATTCACCAATTTTTGCGATTGCGAATATTTCGAGAAAGAAAACTTTTGTTTTACATCATCTGTGTCTGTTAAGTGTTCTGAATATTCAGAGAAGAAATGGCAACAGCGAGTATGTGACTTGAAAGCGCATATAGACTTAATTGAATTGTATGGCTTTTTTTGAGATTCGAGCATTGCCTTTAAACCAGGCTCGGAAACTATGCAGTATTTTAAAGGCCGTATTTAGTGGTATTTCATATAAATAGGTGGTATTTGGGGGTATTTGAAGGTATTTGTATTGGAGTTGAGGGCATTTGGCGGTATACCGCCTAGCCGAGCCTTGCCTTAAAATGTTAAAAATGCTTGTTTATGAAACCTTTAAAATTCACAAGAGATCGCATCTGGCTTGTTTGGGTAGACAATGATGAGATTTTTAATTGATTTTCAGCAAAGGAACCAACCATTTGGACTGATTTAAAAGTCTTTTAAAAAAAATTATTGCCACTAGCTTTAATATGATAATAAAACTTACCCGAAAGGTACAGGGTTTTAAATATGACTGTAATCTGAAGTCCAGGACGGCATTTTTACGCCTTGCGCCTTTCGGGTTAACCTATACTGATCTTGACGTGGACTGAGTTGTTCAATCAATTCCTTGTAGCTTCTTGAAAATAGTTGATGACAATCAGACAAATGAGTTGGCAGTCAGATTAATCGACTGACAGACTGACAAACAATCAGATATTAAGTATGAATATTCCCAAAATTATCAAAGAAGCTGTAATTTATAAAAACAAAAGTACAAAGAAAGAAAATTTTTTTAAATCGCAATTTTTATTGACGGAATGAAATAATGAAAATATTAAAATCAGCACAGACATTATAAGACAAAATTTTAATGTTGATTGATTTCTTTTTCGTCATTATTCGAAAATTAATGTTTTCTCATCGACCTTAAAATACATTTTTGATTCATTATCTGTCTCTCGTATCGCGTATGTTTATAACTGTTATGGCTCATTTTCGATTGTTCAGATATATTTTTTTATAATTTACTTCTTTTTTATGAGTGAAGGAAATGATCGGGTTGTCTTTTTTTCTGATCGGTGTTTGATAATTGACTTTATTTTGAAATATTTTGTGATATGAATTTGTGAATTAGAATTTAATCTGTTAAGAATACAATCAACTTTGTATAAAATTTTTTTTTTCATTTAAAAATATTTTTAAAAAAATTAAACTTTAAAATTGTCAAATTTTGAAAAAAATAAAATTTTAAAATCGTCAATCTTTCAAAAAAAAAATATTTTAAAATTGTCATTTTTTTAAAAAAAAATATCCGTTACAATTCGAATTTTAAGGTTTTTTTTAAATATAAAATTTATTGGTTTTCGGAATTTAAAATTTGCAATTTTTAATAAAATTGAATTTCGACAGTTCTTAAAAATTTGAAATTTTATCAAACATAATTTAAAAATTCCGCTAGTTTTTATGAAACTCATCCTCAACATAAACATTTGTTGTGTTTTCTAAAAAAAATTAGAAAGTAAGAAAAAAAACTTTGTTGATTTACGCAACAATTTCAAAAAGATTCATTCATTTATTTTATTAACTCACATCGCATTTCATTGGCAGTATATTAAATT